TTCTTTCTTTCTTTCTTTTCTTTCTTTCTTTCTTTCTTTTTCTTTCTTTCTTATTCCATTACCTTCTCCTTTATTTCTTATTTATTTCCTCTTTTCCTGTTCCCCTTACGTTCCTCTTTCTTTCTTTCTTTTTTCTTTCTTTCTTTCTTTCTTTTTCTTTCTTTCTTATTCCATTACCTTCTTTATTTCTTCTTTATTTCCTCTTTTTCCTGTTCACCCCCTTCCGTTCCTCTTTCTTTCTTTCTTTCTTTCTTTCTTTCTTTCTTTCTTTCTTTCTTTCTTATTCCATTACCTTCTCCTTTATTTCTTATTTATTTCCTCTTTTTCCTGTTCGCCACCTTCCATTCATTCATTCTTTCTTTCTTTCTTTCTTTCTTTCTTTCTTTCTTTCTTTTTTCTTTCTTCTCTTCATTTAACATTTTTCTTCTTTCTTTCTATTTTTTCCATTCTTTCTTTCTTTCTGTCTATCACATAATTGCACTTTTAGCCTTTCTTCTGACTATTTCGCAATTTTCTTTCTTTCTTTAGTTCATTATTTCTCCTCCTTCTTTTTTAAACAAATGGGCAAGACTCTGCCTGTTTGCGAGATGTGAGCTGCACTAAATAGTGCTCCAAATAGTGCTACCACCAGCGCACTCCCAAGGCATCTTGACGAAATATTCAGAGATTCTTGGCGAAAGTCACGAGCGCACGAACCAAAACAGATCATCCTATTATAATAACGCGTGTCCCTCTCTTCGTTAGTTCGCACGACCGTTACGTCCTGCCAATACCTCATAAATAATGGACTATTCCGTTTTGATCACGTGGAAAGAAAGTAAAAGACACTACTTTGTTTCAGTGAGAAAATGAAAGAAAGAAAGAAAAATAATAGGGTTAGATAGAAGCGTTTAACGTTTCCTGCTAGCACCTCATAAATAATGGTCTATTCTGTTTTGATCATGTGGAAAGAGGATAAAGACAGTACCTTGGTTTCAGCGAGAAGACGAAAGAAAGGAAGGAAGAAAGAAACAAATGTTTAATGGCTGTTTTAGTCAAATGGAAAAAGTTGTCAATTTCATATATTTTCATTTGTACCCACTTCTTAAAATAAGCACCAACATTCCTATTTATAATTGATACAACAAAATGTTGTTAAGCTCAAGTCTTTAGCAATGCGATAGGGGGATTTCTACGGATATTTTATTGTTGGAGAACTCGCCATGAGCTTATTCAATCTTTCACTGAAAATTAAGATTCATCAGAATTTTATAGATACAAATCTTTAAGTAAATGCTCTGTTTTATAATAAACAGTATTAAACAACATTTACCGGCCTGAATGTCCGAGAAATTGTCATAGAAGATATGCGTCCTCCGACAGGAATCGAATCTGTATCCTATACGGAACCGTCATTTACGCTGACGTGCTTTTACCGATTGAGCCACAGAGGAGCGTTTCGGTTTGCAAGGTCGATTTTACTGTTTTTAAACTACAATTTTGCATGATTTTCTCATGTACATTCATATCTGCTCGATGCGTATCCAAATGTAAACAAATGACGTCAGACATTATGAAATGAACAAAGTCCGACAATTATTTTAAGTCCTTTTTATGTTTAGACATTCTTTTTCATAGATACAAATATTTAAGTAAATGCTCTGTTTATAATAATCAGTATGCATTTACTTAAATATTTGTATCTATAAAAAGAAATGTATAAACATAAAAAAATGTCTTAAATTAATTGTCGGACTTTGTCCAGTTCATAATGAGTGATACTTTACATTCTATATATTCCAAAGTTAGCCATAGCGTAGGTGATAGTGGAGAGAAGCTCCCTCTGCCTATAGAAGACATCCTAGCATGCGTCTCAAATAGCCTCTGACGACTAAGTCAGCTCCAAGCCTTTGAATAGGCAAAGGCGGTAAAGGTGGAAAAGGCAGAAAACTGACGCCTCGTTTCGGGGAGATGGAGTTCGACAGCCCAGAAAGGATTCCTTCTACGGGAAAGGAAAACCCTGATTTTTAAACCGCCGCTGCTTTACACGGAAAAGACTATGGAATTACATCCAAACAGAAACCAGGAGTGGAGCTCAGAAGGCGGCTGACTTATTTCGATACATGACTGACGAGGCAGATTTTTTTCCCGGTCTGTCCTTCTATTTACTCATAGCTTAGAAGAGGATTCATACATTTCCCAAGGTTCAGTCAGTTATATGCCATGCTTAGGCGATCATGTATCTTTCGATACATGACTGACGAGGCAAATTCTTTTTTTCCCGCAGTAGGTTGCCATTTCTTTCTGTGGTAGACCAGTTGCCATCCAAGGCTAGAGAACCCAGTCTACCCTGCTATTTACCCATACCTGGGAGAGGGGAGAAGAGGATTCATACCTTTCCCAAGGGTCAGTCAGTTATGTGCCATGCGTGATACACCCTTAGGCGATCATATATCTTTCGATATATGACTGCACTGACGAGGCAGTAGGTTGTCATTCCTTTCTTCAGTAGACCAGTTGCCATCCAAGGCTGTAGAACCTGGTCTGTCCTGCTATTTACCCATAGCCTTTGAGAAGAAAAGGATTCATACCTTTCCCAAGGGTATTTGCGCGTAAGTGAATGTAATGGATTTGACTGGAATTCGAACTCGGTTTTCCGATTCCTCAATCCGAACCGCTATCCATTACTCCACCGTGCCTCCAATACTACTTTACGAAAATTGACAGTAGAGTGGAGGGGCCCTATATGATAGATTCGGGGGCCCCTATCATAGACTTGATAGGGGACCACGAGACCCTTGCACCGCCGCTGCAGTCCAGTATTCCGATTGTTATATTCACGACGTTTTGGGGTTCTTCCATTGATGTATCACATTGGATCATTTTTGTCGGAATATTTTAGACTAGCAGTAGAGCCCGGCGTTGCCCGGGGATGTAACACTAAGAGATAGATCAAGTATCGACCATCATAAAGACTGAAAAATAAAATTGACAAAGATTATTGTTTAAGGTTGACGGACACGCATGTCTTAATTAGTTTTATTTTATTTTTATTTTTTTTACGAATTGGTCAAACCCAAACTCAAACAAAAACATTGTTTTCAATCGTTATGAGTCTACTGATTGAATAGAATTTTATTAGAAACAATTGTCTTGTAAATGGAATTTTTAAAGCATTCTGAATGTAAAAATAAAGAAAAAAGTGTGCAAGACAATAAGAAACACTACCTGCCAAAAAAAAAAGTGAAGTTTTGTTGAAATCGGTTGAAAAATGTAGGAAATACTATCCCATATATAAACGAACACACACAAACAACCTGGGTTTTATAATAAGTATAACTCGATATGAGTTGTCCCCCTTTCATTCTCGTGATGCCTCTTAATCGTGTTTTCAAATTGATTTCGTGCAAAAACAATTGTGTTTTTTCCAATTTTTGGCGCTGTCAGAACCACCGCAAGGTAATTTTACGTAGTCCTGTGAAGTTTTGTTGAAATCGGTTGAAAAATGTAGGAAATCCGATCCAATATATAAACGAACAGACACACACACACACACACACACACACACACAATCTGCGTTTTATAATAAGTAAGATGAGTAATCTTATGCGTGAGTGAATGTAATGAAATCCAGTTCAGGTACGTTAAACTCACGCACAAATACCCTAGGGTAAGGTAAGAATCCATCTCTTCTCCTCCCAGTTAAATAGCAGACTGGGTCCTATAGCCTTGGTTGACAATCAGTCTACCGCAGAAAGAAACGGCGGACTATTGCAGGAAAATCTTCTGTCTAGTAAGTCATGAACTGCATGAGACACGTTCGGTCAAAGGTGCATCATGCAGGACACTTAAACTGACTAACTACATGATACATGGATTCTACAGAAAGTTGCTGAGGATAATACGGACCAATTATGTGAGCAACGATGAGGTTTTAGAGAAAATGAAAACCAAAAGTAAACTTATGCTTAACATCAGGAAGAGGCGGTCGAAATTTCTGAGACACATAATGAGGAAAGAGGGCTTGGAAAATCTGATACTCACAAGGCGGATTGAGAGCAAGAGGGACAGAGGGAAACAACGCATAACATACTTGATGGGATTGAGTAAATGGGTGGAGAATGAGGGTCTAGAATTATCGAAAAGACCGAATTTATTTAGAGCTGCAAGCGACAGGAAATTGTGGAGGGCCATGATCGCCTACTTCCTGGGGGATCAAGACACATAGAGAGATAGAGATTATATGATTTGCTATCCAAAGCAACATGTTCATCTTGGTAATCAGGACGTTTCAGTCGTTATACGCTACGGCCTTCTTCAGGTGTCTTTTTTCGTGCACGGCAAACTTCTTGGGATCTCGTTTTGAACCCTTTATTCAATCGATGAAGGTTGTTTAGGGTCATTTGATATCAGTTGATATTCAACTTTGGGTCGTTAGACAGCAATCGTTATGGCTTTAGTGGATTAAATAATTGGTTATAAACGCATCTGTTGCGGGTTCAATCTCTGGGTTTGATATATTGCTTAAAATTTGCATAATCTATTTTTACTCCCCGATCGAGGGTTTGAACTCACTACCCAAAGACTGAATAATTGGAACAGTGAACTTAAACTCAATATACTTTTTGCTACTTCCATCCTTATAAAATTATTTGGCTAATTTTTCGGTAAATTTGCAGATTAAGCCCCGGGAACCAATTGTAATGAAAATTCCCATTCTGGTGTGACATTGCTTGATTATTTCCAAAATAACAATAAAAGTTTGCGGAAGAAAATCGTTTAGGAGTTATCGACGATATAAGTTCGGCCTTATTCGCGTCTAGCCAGGCTACCATGACAGGAGTTGTTCGCATACGTTTGTCTCGATGAATAATGCGAGGAAGCTTACTTAGTTAACGACCTTTTTACTGATCTTCTTACTCGTCTTGATTACTGCGCAGATTTCGAAATTTAATTTAAAGTTCTCACATTGCGCAGTAATGAAGACAAGTGAAATTTCTGCGCATTACTACTCGGGGCAAATGTATGGAAACAAAGCGAGTAATGGCGACTGGGCTATAACCACGACGCAAATGAGGTTTGGTTTGGTTTGTTTTGGTTTTACGGCATATCAAACCTCAATGGGTCATTTAATGCCGACAAAATTTTTATTGTTGGTAATATTTTTTTTTAATCTATTTCTAGTAATATTTTTCGTTCAAAAAATCTATTTCTGGTAAAATTTTTCCTTGAAAAAATTTATTTCTGGTAATGATTTTCTTTCAAATATGTATCACTGGTAATATTTTTCTTTTTTCTTTTTTTTCAAAAAATGTTTAGCTGGTAATATATATTTCTCTTTTTTTTTTTTCTTTTTTTCAAAAATATATTGCTTATTTTTCCAAAAACGTATAGCTGGTAATATTATTTTTTTAAAAAATTATTTTAAAAAAAAAAC